AGGAGAAATGTTAATATGTCACTTCAAAATAAGCATAACGTTACGACGTGGAAGTAAATGATGCCGTACATGACTTCCCTGTCGTGATTATCATGTTTAGAAGCGTCGTTCACCTTCGTCATCTATTCACGTCACGTGATACTAAATTTACTATATGTGGAGCTAGCGAACGTGGTATGTTGTGATATTAGCGTGGTATGTTGTCATGTTCCTACATGCCACGCAAGTCAGGATTATCATTTTTGTACCAGTCAGATATTTCTTCATCCATTGACGTTACGTAAATCTAAAATTGGTATATGTAGAGCAAGCGAAATGGCCGCGAGCGCAAGATAAGGGCCCGAAATACTCAAATGCAGCGTTAACGCGCGCGCATGCCAGGCACAGTGCCGCTACGTTAGCAAAACGCAAGCATTCTATACTCTGACGTCAGGCGTGACTGGCGTCCGTCGGCGTGGCGCGACAGCAACCGGCTCGAAATGCGACATGCTGCAATTCCATGCTGCATTAACATGCTGCGTTACCCAGACAACACTGCGTCTCCCTCTTGTCGTGACGAAGGGATGCCGGACGCGGTGAAACGCGCATGCGTCAAAGCAATGCAGGCGCGGCCCGCGCCTGCGAGTATATAGCAGGACCAGTGCCTGGCGTGGCAAGACTTGCGTGACGCGACGAAATAAAGGCCAGCGAGCACGCACACTGCGTCACGTCGAAATGCATGTTGTCATGTTCTCACAAGACACGCATCTCATGATTATCATGCTTGCACCAGTCACAACCTTCGCCATCCATAGGCGTCACGTAATACCAAATTTCGTATACGCGAAGCTAGTGAAACGGCCGCGAGCGCATAAGCAGTCTGGCGGGTAGTCATGTTGTTACATGACATGCATATCGTGTATATCAAGTTTGGATGTGTCACTTACCTATGTAGTCCAGTCGCATCACGTATTACCGGGTTTGGCACATGTGAAGCTAGCGAACAACAACAAGAAAGCACCAGAATACCAATCAAGAAGGATGTAAGGCAGGGGGACACAATCTCCCCAATGCTTTTTACAGCGTGCTTCCAGGAGGTTTACAGAAGCCTAAAATGGGAACAGTTATGGATAAGAGTTAATGGAGAGTACCTTAGTAACCTGCACTTCGCCAATGACATTGCATTGCTGAGTAACTCGGGGGACGAATTGCAATTCTGATTATGGAGTTAAACAAAGAGAGCAGAAAAGTGGGTCTGAAAATTGATCTGCAGAAAACGAAAGTAATGTGCAACAACCTCGGAAGAGAGCAGCGCTTCGAGATAGGTAATCGTGCACTTCAAGTTATAGAAGACTATATCTACTTAGGGCAGGTAATAACCACGGAGCCGAACCACGAGATTAAAGTAACTAGAATAATAAGAATGGCGTGGAGCACATTTGGCAAGTACTCTAAAATATGACAGGTAGATTGCCACTATCCCTCAAGAGAAAGGTATATACCAGCTGTATCTTGCCGGTACTTAGCTACGGAGCAGAAACCTGGAGACTTACAAAGAGGGTTCAGCATAAATTGGGGTCGACGCAGCCAGCAATGGAAAGAAAATGGTACGTGTAACCTTAAGAGTTAAGAGAGCAGAGTGGATTAGAGAACAAACGGGGATTAAGGATATCATAGTTGAAGTCAAGAAAAAGAAATGGACATGGGCCGGGCATGTAACGCGCAGACAGGATAGCAGCTGGTCGTTAAAGGTAACTAACTGGATTCCCAGAGAAGGCAAGCAGGTTAGGGGGAGACAGAGGGTTAGGTGGGCATATGAGATTAACAAGTATGCGGGTATAAACAGGCAGCAGCAAGCGCAGGACCAGGTTAACTGGCGGAACATGGGAGAGGCCTTTGTCCTGCAGGGAACATAGTCAGGTTGATTGATGATGATGATGATGATGATGATGATGATGATGATGATGATGATGATGATGATGATGATGATGATGATGATGATGACGATGAAGCTAGCGAAATGGCCGCGAGCGCATCCTTAGCGTAGCAAGTAGTCATGCTGTTACATGACACGCATCTCATGTTTATCATGTTTGCACCAGTATCATACCTTCGTGAACCATTCACGTCCCGTAATACGAAATTTTGTATAAGTGAATCGAGTGAAATGCCCGCCATCGTAGCGTGAGCGTGGCATGTAGTCGTGTTGTTAGATAACACGCATCTCATGATTATTATGTTTGCACTCGTCACATACTTTCGTCATCCTTTCACGTAATGTAATACCAAGTATGGTTTATATGAAGCTAGCGAAATGGCCGCGAGCGCATCGTGACCGTGGCAAAAAGTCATGTTGTTACATGACACACATGTCATGATCTTTATGTTAGGGTCTGTCGCTTGTGTTCATCATGCAATCATGTCAGACCACACTAGTTATGCAACATGACATGTGAACGAAAGCACTGCAAGAGCTGCCGGACCAAGAAATGTAACTCATCACACTTATAAAATACATGTCATAATTTTCATATCATGACTAGTCACATATGTTCATAGAGTCTTGTTAAGCCATAGGAAATTTGATAACGATGCCATTATCGAAATGGCCAGGAGAGCTAAACGTCGTAGGCGGCTAGATAGAAAGAAAGAAAGATAGATAGATAGATAGATAGATATATAGATAGATAAATAGATATATAAATAGATAGATAGATAGATAATTAGATAGATAGATAGATAGATAGATAGATAGATAGATAGATAGATAGATAGATAGATAGATAGATAGATAGATAGATAGATAGATAGATAGATAGATAGATAGATAGATAGATAGATAGATACGTTAGAAGGCGCCAAAGTCTGCTAAGAAATGCTTCGCATTTAAAAACCTTGCAATGACAATTCTGCATCGCAGAATATCTTCTTTTTGCAATACCGCAGGTGGCCGAAATTTCCGGAGTCCTCCACTACGGCTTCTCTCATAATCATATGGTGGTTTTTCAACGTTAAATCCCACATATTAATCAATATTTTTGCAATAAAAATCTATCATATGCCTTGACACACCTGCTAACCACGTTTCTTATGAGGTTCGCGTTAGTGACGCGCTCTGAACACAGCTTAAGCACCAGCAAGGGGCTCTAAGAGAGTTGTCGTCATTGTGAAGAACTTGATGATTGTGTTTCTGTACCATAAGCATTTGGTGTGCTTCAAGGATGATTGCTTATACTGTAGAATACTATCCCTCCTGCCTAGCATATCGTGGTGCGTATGTATAAAATATGGTAAAGTTGAGAAATACTTCCCTGATGGCATTGTGGAGAACTGGATAATTGTGCATCTGCTTCTGGACTGTAAGCGTTTTGTCTGCTTCAAGGATGATTGCATCTATTGAAGAATACTATCCCTCCTGCCTAGCACACTGTGGTGCGTGTGTAGATCATATGGAAAAGTGTACAACAACTTCACTCGTGACATTGTGGAGAACTGGTTGATTGTGTATGTGTTTCTGGACCATAAGCATTTTGTGTGCTTCAAAGATGATAGCATCTATTAAAAATACTATAGAACTTGCGCAGAACATTTTGGTGCGTGTGTTGAAGATCAGGAAAAGTCTACAACTACTTTCCTCATGGCATTGCGGAGAACTAGATGATTGTGTATCTCTTTCTGGACAATCAGCATTTTGTGAGCTTGAAGGATCGGTGCATCTGTTAAGGAATACTATTTCTCCAGCTGAATAGCATATTGTGCTGCGTATGTAGAAGTTATGGAAAAGTTGACAACTACTTCGCTCATGGCATTGCTGAGAGCTAGATGATTGTGTATTTGTTTCTGGACCATCAACATTTCTTGGGCTTGAAGGATGGTTGCGTCTGTTAAAGAATACTATCCCTCCAGCTGCATAGCATATTGCGGTGCGTGTCGAACATATGTGAAAGTTCACAACAATTTCGCTCATGGCATTGCGTAGAACTGGATGATGGCGTACTTGTTTCTGGACCATAGGCATTTTGTGTACTTCAAGATTAATTGCATTTATTGAAAAATTTTATCCCACTTCCCTAGAATTTTGTGGTGCGTGTGTTGAAGATTAGGAAAAGTGGACTACTTTGCTCATGGCATTGTGGAGAACTGGATGATTGTGTATCTGTTTCTGGACCATAAGCATTTTGTGTGTTTCAAGGATGACTGGATGTGATAAAGAATACTATCCTTCCTACCTATCATAACGTGGTGACTATGTAGGAGATATAGAACAGTTGACAACTGCTTCGCTCGTGCTTTCTTTAAGAAAAAAAATTGGCCACCTATCTGCATGTTATTCCGCAAATGTCAAAAGACGATAGCTTTGCGTGTGGAGAGATTGAACAAAACATTTATTTGATGTTTTGCGGAAGAAAATCGGTGAATGGTATTCTGGAAGCGCTGCGTTAGAGTGCCTCGAGCGTGAAGCGGAGGTGAACAAACGTATCAAGTCACGTTACACGTGAGACTTGACATCACGTTACACGTGAAAACGAAGCACGTGGCTCAGAGACAGGTGTCCGCGCCCGTCTCAGAGGTGATAAGGTGTAGAACGCAAGGCGAAGGGTAGGTGCAACCACCGTTTCGTCTTAGCAAAGCGTTGGAAACACTTGCCTTTTCGTGCAAGTGTTGCATGATTGGCGCAGCGTGATAAGCGTTACGGTTTCTAAAACTACTATGTATGCCTGTTCAAGTAAAAATTACACGTGCAGAATATATACGTGTGGTTACGGTGCTTCAGACATGCGCAATAATTGGTTTTTACTTGACCATTCCACAAGTATGAAGGCTGATTCTTGAGCAAGATTGATGGGCGCTGCGGATGGGGTCGGCCGTTTCAACAGTGCGGTGCGGTCAAGAGTGAACAAATAGACAAATTTACAAACAGACAGATCAAAATTTATGCGTCGAAGGTCCCCAAGAAAGACCATCATCTTTAAAAGACGCGTCATTGTTGGTGGACATTGAGCACGAAGTAAGGCAATCCATTTATTCTTCAAGTTTTTTATTCAAGCTTCATTATTTTTTTCCAAAAACAAGTTACGAAATCTAGGATATATAGACGAGGGTCCCTGATCCAGAGACTTGAGTGGGACCCTCAATATTTTTATACAAATTGACGGTAAACTTTATACAGAGCAATAGAAAATCCTTACAATATACGGATATCAAAATACACTTTTACATTACATATCAAGCCAAAACACGAAACATGGTATAAAAAGAACAAATAAGTCAAACAGGTAAACGATATGGTTATTCGAGCAAATTATTTTCGACGGACTTTTTGAACAAAAGAAATGAAGTACAACGCCTAATGCTCAAAGATACCGCATTCCAAAAAGATAACGCACTAAAATCAGAAGTTTTTTACCCATAATTAGTATGAGCAGGGGATAACAGGAAATTTTTATCAGCCATTTCAAGTTAACACAACCGGCCGGATACAGAACTTAATGGGAAAGGTAAATCTTGATGTTAAAACTGATAAAACAAAGGCTAACATAGTTCGTGCGTATGGTGCGCAGAGCAATGAGCAAAAAACGAAATATATTTAAGCTGCAAACTTGTATTTATTGAAAATTTTTTCATGGAACCACAAATGGTATTTGTATTTTTATCAAAGTTCTTTCACTTGAGCTTTGGTTTCTTCACCGGAACCCTAAATGACATTCGGCGACATTCAACATAGTGGAGCCTGGACTCGGCGTCGGTAATTCTACTCTACATCGCCACTATCAGTTATAAACCATTCTGTGGACAGTATAACGTAAGTATCGACAGGGGTGGAAGAACGACCCAGAATGGTGTCCTTATCAGTTACATACGGCGCCTCAGTTCTCGGGCGCGTTTGTTTCATGGGTATTCACGGTTGCAAGAGGTGCTTCGGTTTGTATTGAAACCCCGGTTTCATGGGGTGCCTTCATTTTCTGTGGTGCTTCTATGTCGTAGGACGCGGCAGGACTGGTTTCATGGGGTGGTACGGTTTCATGGGGTGGCACGGTTTCATGTGAAAACCCGGTTTCTTAGAGTGCCTCTGTTTCATAGGGTGCTTCGGTTTTATTGGGCGCCGCAGGGCTGGTTTCATGGGGCACTCCGGTTTCATGTGAAACTCTGGTTTCTTGGTATGCCTCCATTTCATGGGGTGCTTCGGTTTCATAGGGCACCACAGGGCTGGTTTCATGGGGCACTCCGGTTTCATGTGAAACTCTGGTTGCTTGGCGTGGCTCCGTTTCATGGGGGGCTTCGGTTTCGTGGGGCGCCACAGGGCTGGTTTCATGGGGCACTCCGGTTTCATGTGAAACTCTGGTTGCTTGGGGTACCTCCGTTTCATGGGGTGCTTCAGTTTCATAGGAAGCCGCAGGGCTGGTTTCATGGGGCACTTCGCTTTCATGTGAAACTCTGGTTGCTTGGGGTGCCTCCGTTTCATGGGGGGCTTCGGTTTCGTAGGGCGCCGCAGGGCTGGTTTCATGGGGCACTCCGGTTTCATGTGAAACTCTGGTTGCTTGGGGTACCTCTGTTTCATGGGGTGCTTCGGTTTCATACGGAGCCGCGGTGCTGGCTTCGGTTTTGTGGGGTGCCTCTGTTTCATAGGGCACCTCGGTGCTGGTCGAAGGCTTAGTCCTGAAGTATTCTTCACCAGCAGAAGAAGTGGTTTGAGCGAATTCAGCCTCCACGCATTTTCCATCACGGCAGACATGTGTTCTAAAAAAGGGTGCAAGTACCTGCATGGAAATAACATGGCCAAGAAACTGTGTATTTCAACAGCTGATAGGGCATGATGAAGAACTCAAGCATCAAGAAGAGGTGAATCTTGAGAAGTGGAAGAAGCTCTGGATATCCTATCGATGAGTGCCCATACATTTCCCGATAATTGCCCCACAGAATCGAAACTGAGGGACATACATTGTACATAAAAATGTAATTTTATTTCGCGTTCCCATCATCTCAACAGTTTGAGGAAGATTAAAGTAGTTGTTGAAGTAGAGTACATACCTAGAAAATGAATATGAGAGCTCACCATCTTAGCAGTAATCGATACCATTTTTAAATGGTTAATGTGTTGAGACACGCAGGGCTCAGCATGTTTGTTTTGTTACAGGTTTCTTTCAGTAGCATCAACATCTAGGTACATTCTATGAGAGACCAACTCATCAACACACTTCTCGATAGGGCATTTTTGTGGGGAACAGTGATCTTGTACCTTAAAAGGAAGCGATGTCTGTGTTGAAGTCTACTGTAAAACACTTTTTTGTATGTCTGTCTCTCCTAAGTTTCCGCAACAACAATGGTTCTCTACTCTGACCGCCACGGAACACAAGGCTAGCTCATCAGGATCTTCACCTCGAAAACGCTAAGCAAGGAAAATACCGGTGTGACCACGAGACAACAGCACCGCAGGAGGGTAATAAATAACTTGATAATTTGAGTGGCCATAGAGATGTCATGAACATTGTTTATTCGTAGTATTTATGCAAAGATATTAATGAATTCAAAACAGCGAACGACTTGATTATTAAAAATCTTTTGTTGGGAGATCAGATGTACAACATGCGTGTCAACATGAGCCGACTCGAATTGAACCAATTGATCATTGTTACTATGAGCGTTATATGAGGTTAATTTATCACAATATGCTTATTAATGCATATGTCCGCGAGTGACACCACAAACTTCAAAACCCATTTTTGAAATGTTGGCCCAAAGAAAATTTCTGAAACTTGGTATTAGCCTCTGGACTTCGCTGAGAAAAACTGAAAATACATTTACATTTTGATGCACCATAAACATGTATATGAACTACACACATTTTGTATACGCAGTTCACAGATCCGGGTTTGTTAGCGAGCGAGCCCTCTTTTAATAAGTAACTGTGTACGCGCTAGTGAAAGCCATCAAAATATGCGATACTTGGTGAGATTGTGATGGGAATCTAACCATGGCGTCGTGACGGGTATTCCATTTTTGCGCGTCTTCTCGATTACAAAGAACCTTCTCGGGGCGAGCCTCTTGATTGTGGAATTGGTAAATAATAGTTGCAATCATTTAATATGAAATTGTAGATTCAGCAGAATCCCATCTGTTTAGGAAATGCCATGAAAGAAGGAAGAACACCACCGACCGACGTCAAAACATAGTTTTATCAAGACGTTTCGTTTCTCACATGGAAGTCTTGTTCACTATGGATCATGGCTGGCACATTCGCTTACTATTCTAATAGCAGTTATATGGACAGGCTTGGCTGATTTTTGCCGTCGCCGCTACCGTCATGCAATGTATATGTATACGTATCTATATATATGAAAACACAAGAAAGAAAAAAAAGCCGCCCACGCGCAGCACCCAGCTCGTCGCGATGCATTGACGCGTGTTTATCTCCCACGCGTACTTTGCCTCGCAGATGGGCGTGGGGGAGGGAGGTAAGCTGCTGGTGCGCGCGCGCTTATCTTCCGGTGGGGAGGATCTGCTTTGACCTTTCGCTGGAGAGATTGCGTTAAGTTACTTAAGCCACAAAGGTCACTTCACTCGCTGGACAGGCGCCATTTGCGAAAAGAGTGCGCTTTTCGAACACAGCAGTGTAAAAACTGGAACACTCGTTGGTTCGCACTCATATCTGTACCTGTGTTTGCGTTTCGTGTGTCGTTATTGTTTAAACAGCGCGCTAAGCTTCGAGCTGGGAACCTTGTTTGTTAGCTCTCGTCACACGTGTGTTGCTTTTGTGCGTCATTTGAGCGTGAGCTGCACACTGCACATTTCGATCTGCTAGCTGGTTCAGCGCTACATTCCAAGTTGTTGCTGTCGCACTCATTACTTCGCCCTTGCGATGATACTGTGACCTTTTATAAGGTCCTCTAATCCCATTTTCGAGGCAAGGCGCATGCACAAGCGTAATATTACAAGAGCTCTTGTTTATTTAGCCGGTACTCAGTGGTTTCAATAAAGAAAGATTCCAGATGAAGCCGTGAAAATAATTCATTTTCGTGGCATAGATGGGAGTGCCTTCGCAGTTCACGGCATGGCTCTTGAATAGCAAATGTTGGTCGATAGCGCTTGAGGTCACATTTGTGTTTTTCTTGTCATTACGGTGTTCCTGTAGCCTCCTTTTGCAATGCCTGGTCTCGCCGATATACACATGTGTGCAATCTTGACATGAGGTTTTTTTTTTAGCCGACAGCTTGTTCTTCACGTTCGTGAGTTTTATATATATATATATATATATATATATATATATATATATATGGGATATGGCACAACGGGAGCGTTGTCAACAAGGATAAATATATTTATTTCCCAACAGTTTCGGGAGGGGACCTCCCTTCATCAGGGGATGAGTTATAACTCATCCCCTGATGAAGGGAGGTTCCCTCCCGAAACTGTTGGGAAATAAATATATTTATCCTTGTTGACAACGCTCCCGTTGTGCCATATCCCATACCTTCACGAAGACTAACTGGCCCATTGAATTATTACTATTGTTAAGGCGTTTAATAGCCGGTCCACAGCGAGCAAGCACAATGGCGACAGTAACGGCCAAGCACGGGCTCCCAGTGCGAGCGGCGTCCTTGTTGGGTAGCCCCACTAGAAGGTACTCAAGAGTTCGACCCATTTCATAGTTCGGAGGCTTCGCTACAATTACCCCGGGGTCGAAGAGGGAGCCGCCTGGCGACCTAACAGCTTGTTATTATGAGCGGGTCATAATAAGCCTTCAGGCGCTCCACGTTGACGATGTCTCGCCCACGGCGGCGCATGTCCGAAGATTGTTCAGCGGGTTCGATCAGATAGTTGACGGGTGAGGTGCGCTCGATGACACGGTAGGGGCCTTCGTATTTGGGACGTAGTTTGGAAGAGAAGCCAGCGGCAGAGGTCGGAATCGAGAGCCATACAAGCGCACCAGGAAGGAACGTGGGCTCAGAAGTGGTGCTGGCATCACGGATACTCTTCTGCCGCTCTTGCTCGTGCGTCGTAAAAGTCTTGGCAAGCTCGCGACACTCTTCAGCAAGCCTGGCTGTCTCGGAAATAGGTGTACACTCAGATGTATCCGGCGTGTACGGGAGTATCGTGTCCATGGTGTGCGACGGGTGCCTTCCGTACAGCAAGTAGAAAGGTGAAAAACCAGTCGTGCTCTGAGGGGCGGTGTTGTAGGCGTAGGTGACGAAGGGCAGTATATTATCCCAATTAGTGTGGTTGGCAGCTACGTACATAGAAAGCATGTCGCCGAGGGTGCGGTTAAAGCGTTCGGTGAGGCCATTCGTCTGTGGGTGGTAAGCAGTAGTTTTGCGGTGGACAGAATGGCACTCCGTCAGAATGGCTTCGACGACTTCCGACAAGAAGACACAGCCTCGATCGCTGAGAAGCTCTTGGGGTGGTCCGTGGCGCAGTATAAATCGATGCAGCAGGAAGGACGCAACATCGCGCGCAGCAGCCGCAGGGAGAGCGGCGGTTTCGGCGTATCGCGTTAAATGGTCAACGGCAACGATGGCCCAGCGGTTACCAGCCGACGTCAGAGGAAGTGGTCCATACAAATCGATACCTACGCGCCCAAAGGGACGGTCAGGGCAAGGTAACGGTTGTAGACTGGCGTGCGACATGTGAGCTGATGGTTTACGGCGTTGGCAAGTGAGGCAAGAGCGAACGAACTGCTGCACATAGCGGTACATCCCGCGCCAGAAGTAGCGTTGTCGAATGCGATGGTAGGTTTTGAATACCCCAGAGTGCGCGCATTGCGGATCAGAATGGAAGGATTCACATATCTCTGACCGCAGACTGCGGGGTATCACGAGTAACCACTGCCGGCCGTCGGCGTCGTAATTGCGTCGGTGTAGAAGGCCGTCACGAATGGCGAAATGGCGAGCTTGACGACGCAATGCACGTGTGGATGGCGTTGCGGATGGATCAGAGAGCAAGTCGATCAGCGAGCCGATCCAATTATCCTTTCGCTGTTCGGTAGCGATTATGTCAACGTCAATGGCAGAAACAGCAGCCGAGGATACTGAGCAGAGCACATCACCTTCAGGCAGAGGGGAGCGCGAGAGGGCGTCGGCATCAGCATGCTGGCGTCCATTGCGGTACAGCACGCGGATGTCGTAGTCTTGTAAACGAAGAGCCCAACGGGCGAGACGGCCTGAGGGATCCTTCAATGATGAAAGCCAGCATAGTGCATGATGGTCGGTGACGACATCGAATGGGCGACCATACAAATACGGTCGAAACTTTGTAAGAGCCCAGACGATCGCCAGGCACTCTTTCTCCGTGACGGTGTAGTTTGTCTCAGCTCTCGTGAGCGTACGGCTTGCATATGCTACGACATATTCAGGGAATCCGGGTTTGCGCTGCGCCAGGACAGCGCCGAGGCCTACACCGCTGGCGTCTGTGTGCACCTCCGTCGGGGCCGTAGGGTCGTAGTGGCGTAGAATGGGAGGAGATGTCAACACATGGCGGAGCTTCGCGAACGCGTCGTCGCACTCAGACGACCACGAATTGAGGGACCCGTTACTTCCAAGGAGCTTCGTCAGCGGTGATATGATCGTGGCAAAGTTTCGTATGAAGCGTCGGAAGTACGAGCACAGGCCCACGAAACTACGCAGTTCTTTGACGGACGCAGGTTTGGGGAATTCGGCCACGGCCCGAAGCTTGGCTGGGTCAGGAAGAATGCCATCCTTGGACACGACGTACCCAAGGATGGTGAGTTGCCGTGCTGCAAAGCGGCACTTCTTCAGATTTAGTTGCAAGCCGGCATTGCTGACACGTGCAAAAACTTCTTTCAGACGTTGGAGGTGCGTAGAGAAATCTGGAGCGAACACCACAACGTCATCGAGGTAACACAAGCACGTGTGCCATTTCAAGTTGCGCAGAACGGTGTCCATCATGCGCTCAAAGGTCGCAGGTGCATTACATAGACCAAACGGCATGACGTTGAATTCGTACAAGCCGTCGGGTGTGATGAACGCAGTCTTCGGTCGAGCGTCTTCAGCCATGGGTACTTGCCAGTACCCCGAGCGCAGATCGAGAGAAGAAAAAAATTCGGCTCCGTGAAGGCTGTCAATTGCGTCATCGATGCGCGGCAGTGGGTAAACATCCTTGCGAGTGATTTTATTGAGCCGTCTGTAGTCTACACAGAACCGCGCAGAACCATCTTTTTTCGCAACAAGAACAACTGGAGACGCCCATGGACTGTCCGAGGGCCGAATAACGTCGCGTCTGAGCATATCATCAACCTGCTCGTTAATTTCCCGACGTTCAACAGGCGACACGCGGTAGGGACGTTGCCGTAATGGTGGATGGGCACCAGTGTCGATACGATGCGTAACAGCGGACGCACGACCGAGAGAACTTCGCCCGACATCGAAAGAAGAACGATATTCTCGCAACAGGTTCAGAAGCTGGGAACGCTGTACCGACGTGAGGTTGTCATCAATGCAAGGGCCAAATACATCAGGAGATGACGAATCAGAAGTGGAAACAGCACTGATGGTACGCAAATTGGGACAACGCGAGTCATCAGGTACGTCCAGGACTTGTGCGTTATCCACTGGTTCCACTCTGCCGAGGCATTCCCCTCGAACCAAGGTAACAGTGTACGGGGATGGGTTGGTCACGAAAATAGAGGCGTTGCCCTGGGTGATTTGCACGGTCGCGAAAGGTACTAGCAACCCTTTCCTTCGGCAAGCACGGTCGGATGGCGAAACGAGCGCAATTGTGTCGGAGAGTCCAGCGCAGTAGACAGATACACCCATCGTGGAGCTTGGAGGCACTATGGTATCGTCTTTCACGAGAATCTTGCTCACTTTCGAAGAACTGTCTTCCGGCGTCAAATGCGAGAAGGGGGAGAGTTCAATTTCGGCGGCGGCACAATGGATGACGGCGTCGTTGCGGGAGAGAAAATCCCACCCCAGGATGACGTCATGAGAGCATGCGGGAATGATGATGAATTGGGCGACATACAGAACGTCCTGAACGACAACGCGAGCTGTGCACCCTGCTGTAGGATGGATACGATGCAAACCGGCGGTACGAAGGGACAATCCAGAAATTGGCGTCGTCACTTTACGAAGCAAGCGGCAAAATTTTTTGTCCATAACGGATACTGCAGCTCCTGTGTCAATAAGAGCAGATGCGTGAACACCGTCCACAAGCACGTCAATGACATTAGATGGGCGGCTCTGAGGGCTTTCACAATGCGATAGCATCGCAGTCCTTGCCTCGGGGACTGCGACGACTAGTTTTCCCGCTCGTGAGCAGCTGAACTTGGTCGCATGGGGGACGGGGAACGACGTCGTGGAGACGGTGACCTACGAGAAGATGAAGCTAGGCGAGTTGGCGGTGGCATAGACGGCGTTTCCTCGTGATAGGTACGCCTAATCTGGCCAGCAACAGGCGACGAGATATGGGGCGTCTGTACGCGAGTGCAATAACGTGCTACGTGGCCGGCGTAACCGCAGGCAAAGCAAATGGGCCGGTTGTCGGATGTGCGCCATCGGTTCGCCGGGGTAGGTCTTGTCCATGACGCAAGAGCCGATGGACGGAACGGTGGCTGGAAAGGCTGCAGGGGGTGCTGGAGCTGAGTCTGAGAGGTCACATCAACATACGTAGCCGGCATACCCGCTGCAAAGGATGGAGGTCGTGCGGCAGCTTCGGCGTAAGTCAGTGGGGCGGGCGCTTGAACGACTGGAGGCGGCCTGGCGACCACTTGGGCGTAACTTGGGGGTACAGGAGCCGGAAGCTGTTGTGGGTGGTACGCAGGCATAACCTCCGCTATTTCCTGCTCAATCGCTCGGCGGATGGGGGGGAAAATGGTAGTGGCCGATTGTTGAGCAGCCGGTGGGTGGGCGAAGGGCAGGAGAGAGAACTGCCGTGCGATTTCCTCACGTATGAAGGACTTGAGGTCTGCCAGCAGTGCCACCTGGTCACAGCTCGCCTCCAAGCCTGCAAGCCCTGCATCTCGTGGTGTGGAGCGACGGGTCATCGAACGCTGCCGGCGGAGCTCCTCGTAGCTCTGGCACAGCGTGATGACCTCAGCTACTGTGCCTGGGTTTTTGGCCAGCAGCATCGTGAAGGCATCATCGGCAATGCCCTTCATGACGTTCCGGATCTTGTCTGATTCGGACATGCTGTCGTTGCATTTCTTGCATAGGTCCAAGACGTCTTCAATGTAGCTGGTGAATGATTCACCGGCCTGCTGAGCGCGTTCGCGTAAGCGCTGCTCGGCTTGCAGCTTACGAACGGCAGGGCGGCCAAAAACGTTGGTGATAGCGGTCTTAAAATCGAGCCAGGTTGCGAAATCAGACGCGTGGTTGTTATACCACATGCCGGCCACACCCGCGAGGTAGAAAACCAGGTTGCCGAGTTTACCTGCCTCGTCCCAATGATTGGGGACGCTGACGCGTTCGTACATGACGAGCCAGTCCTCGACGTCGGTGCCATCCGCGCCGGTGAAGACAGGTGGGTCGCGGATGCGGGGGACACCGGAACATGGCGTCGGCGCAGGAGGAAGCGTTTGCTGGGCGGCGTCTTGTTGCATGGTTGAAGGCACGGTACGGGATCTAAGCTCCAAGGGCATCGAATGTGAACCGAAGATGTTTGAAGGGCACAGAACTCTCCACCAAAATGTTAAGGCGTTTAATAGCCGGTCCACAGCGAGCAAGCACAATGGCGACAGTAACGGCCAAGCACGGGCTCCCAGTGCGAGCGGCGTCCTTGTTGGGTAGCCCCACTAGAAGGTACTCAAGAGTTCGACCCATTTCATAGTTCGGAGGCTTCGCTACACTATATATATATGTATATATATATATATATATATATATATATATATATATATATATATATATATATATATGGGTGTATGGTGTGCGCAATCAGTAATATACGCAGGGCGATTTATATGTTAAACGTATGACTCACCCCACAGTGAATTCCGTCGGGCTCGGTGTCATACCGGATTGGCCACCCGAAGCAGAGGTATCTGCAGCTCGTCCTGTACGATGTTTTCCACTGTACAAGCATAGATGTAAAATTGGAACGGATGATACGCTACTAAAACAGCAAAGCGATGATGAAAAACGAATTGTAAGCCACAACGCACACACACACGAATTTGGCTCACATGTCATGCACTTACCCGACATTAACAAAGTTAGATGATCACGAAAAAAAAAATGCCTGAGGCGATGAAAATTTTCGAACAAAGGGTTAGTTACCACTAACTGACCATTATGCGAAAAAGTATAAGGGTTGTTATGATTGATTTATTTAGAAGTTTAACTGCGAAGTAATTAAAAGGTGAATGTTGACGCCTTTTCTTTTTTGTTAGACAAAATATTAACGAGAAATAACATGCAATGATGCCAACAAAAGTATACGGGACATCATCTGATTTGCTATGATTAATGGTGGAAGTGCTGTTCAAGCAGACTCGGTTCCTTAGGATATATACGATGAATGTTTTGTCAGCCGCCAGGTCGTAACAAAATCACAAGCTATGTGTGGCTGACAGGTAGAAAATGGCGTTGCACAGATTCATTCATGGCTACTAGCGGCACTGAATAACACTGCCATGTTTATGTGCTCATATATACCTCAGACATTCAATAGGGTGGGGGGGATGATAGCTGAAACAACTTAGTTGGCAAAGCGTCAGTAACGTTATTCAGAGATGGCTAGTTTTGTCTCTGTCAGCGCCAAGTTACCGTTCCGCCTACAAACTACCTTACCTATTACTATGGCAATCAATAATTCTATCAATCTGTCGTTGCTAAGACAATGAAATAAATTATTTTATTGATTCTTGCTAATGAAGCATGTCAAGGTATGTTTCAACGGTGAAGCCTCAATTTCACTGTAAAACAAGAATTGAAGTAGTCATGCTTACGCTGCGAAAATTCGCATCGAGTTTATGACTGTATAGTTTATGATTCGTCCGTGCTAACATAAGTCCGTGCTCTTACCGGTGCAAGTGGAATCGCTCGGAGACATTTCCCCTCGATGTATTGACCTGAACATAAAACAAAAACCTTTATGCAATATTGCTCTATCTCAAAATGGTATACGTATATGTATGATTGGGCTTCAAGTTCTGCAGACATCACTGCGTGAAGAAGAATACATGCTGGCTTGTTACGATTTTCACTGAAAATAGGGCATAAAAAGTTATTCAGCTTTTTTCAAATTGTGTAAATTTACTTTCTTTTAGTTTTCAATCACAGCTTCCACCAGGTAGAATAGTGATGCACAGGATATAAGTGGTCACTATACGGAGAAACACCTTCTCGTTCGGCGAGGTTAAGGGCCATGAGAGGCTAAATATTGGAAAAATTTTTTGGAAAACTTTTTGGAAAACATTTTTTTCTTGATATTGCAAATATTGGAAAACTTTTTTTGCTTGATTTTTATTTTTTAGGCGACGTTCTTAGAGCTCGAGCTGAAACGTTGGCTTCACACCGAACACCATCTGCGCAGTTGCTTATCGGCCATGCCCACTGACGGATACAGCTTGCGCACCCACCACACCGTGTATTCCCGCCACGCGAGCTCAGTACGAGCGACGGAAAAGTATTGCGACAAATAGCTTGACACTTTAGCTGTGCCACTAGATATTGGGCATTCCTGAATGACCTTCGCCAGGCTGTGGTTTCACTCTACGTTGTAAACGCCAAGGGAATATCTGGAAGCAGCCAAGAAGGCTACGTTAAACATTGGCCAGCATTAATGTATTCAAAGATTTATGCGGCTAGTGAAAACTTCTATTATTTAATGCTTACAATAAAACAAAAATAATATGATTCAAACCATGTAATATAATTCTACAAGAAAGAGATAATTTCAAACGAGTAGCGCATCACGGGAGCTAAGATGAAAGTAAAGGCCATAAAAGCTTCAAATAATACTGCTTGCCGATACATCTAATTCCCCAGAGGGAAGAACTAATGGCTCCTACATGCTAAGTTAACAATTTTCACATATCATTCGATATATCAGAAATACTCACCATCGAATCAATAGAAAGAAGTAATCTATATACAATGCTGGTAATACCGATACCTCGGACCTGTTTTTTGGTGCACGCGTACGAGATGTTACCAACACGTGAAAACTATGGCGAGTTTGTTAGCATCGGCATAGAAAAGGGGTTTGCGACATAAGTAATAAAAAATAATGTAATACAGCTGATTGGATAACCTCCAGTGTTACACGCATACAATAGACGATAGAATTAGTGAGTAAACCTGATAGCGCTAAACACGCAGGAACTCACACCTACCTAACACAACTGACACCTGCCTGAATGTGTGCGAAGAAATGCCAGTCTCAAATGAAACAAAAAACACGAATCGTTCCACAATGCAAAGTGTGTGTTATAAAAGGAATGCGAGGAAAATTATAGATATTATTACAAGAAAAACTTCATTGAAGACAATATTATGCACGACAATGTGGTTTCAAAAAAAAAACTGTTCGCACGCCATTTGAAACATTACCTCAATGTATATCAATATTGTAAAGTGTTCGAAGTGGCGGCCAAGACTACAGAAAATAGAGTTAGAATCCCCGAATTTCGAAGACTTCTCGGCTTTTTATTTAACGTTCAACAAAAATTAAAGCAGCTGTCTAGATGATCACTTTCCCAAACCAACACGCCCGAAAAATTCGCTTATCTGGCTGAGGCGGCCGCATTTCGAAGTAGGCGAAACGCTAGCGGCACGTGTGTGATTTAGGTGCGGATTAAAAAAAAAAAAACGCCAGGTGGTTAACCATTTCGGGACTTTTCATTAAAGAATGCTTCATAATCATAATGTTGTTTTGGAGTCCACAATCTTCACAATTATTATTTGATATGTAGCACACCCTACATTAGCGCATTCGTGAATACTATCAAAAACCTTCTCCTATATATATAAGGGTAACTGACTGGATTCCCAGACAAGGGAAGCGGGTTAGGGGGAGACAGAAGGTTAGGTGGACAGATGAGATTAAGAAGTTTGCGGGTATAAATTGGCAGCAGCAAGCACAGGACCGGGTTAACTGGCGGAACTTGGGAGAGGCTTTTGTCCTGCAGTGGACGTAGTCAGGCTGGTGATGATGATGATGATGATGATGATGATGATATAAAACGAACATCATTTATAGAACGATATGCTCATCCAATATCCTAAATTGAACCAACAGAACCAATCATTCTTTAACAGAACTTAGCACTAATAAGAGAAAAAGCAATGATACATTTACATTGAAAAAACAAGTGATGTGTAGACACGCTTATAACGTGAAATCATACCTGTTGAGGGCGCAAAGAGGCAAGCGAATGCCGTGACAACAAGGGCAATTGCTACTCGAAACCCCATTCCTGACCCTGTTACGTGAATGCGTTAAGTGCACATCATTCGGAGGCTGAGGCATTTTTATATTTGCAAAAGCCTTTGTCTATAGTCGTATGCTATTGTTGCAAGTGTTGCAACAGATAGCTTATCAAAGAAATCATGACAGAGGGAGACGCACTGGCACTGGAGTAGGACAACTCCTATTCTGCTCATTCGTTCAACGAAATCACGCAATCGGATAATAAATCGCGTCTCCCAGCTCTTCTCAACGCCAGCAACATCGGCGTGAAATTTCGGGCCCCTAGCATATAGCACTTGGAGAAACGAGTCTGGTTGTATACTTTTATTCTGTCAGGTTTCACTGTAGCTCCACTCATACGGTCTCTAAAAATTGGAAGGTCCCACGTCCTGCGGAAATCGATGATATGTGAAGCAGGAATGAGAAAGGTTGACTTGTCATTTTAAAATCAGAACAACGTTGCGAGTTAGAGCTAAATGATGCCGTACATAAGTTTTGTGTCGTGATTTTCATGTCTGAATGTGTCTTTTACCTTCGTCATCTATTAAAGTTACGTGATACCAAATTTAGTATATTTGAAGCTAGCGAAATGTCCCTGAGCACGCTATGAGCATGGTATGTTGTCATGGTCTCACATGACTCCCGTGTAAGGATTATCATGTTTGCACCAGTAATATACTTTTGTCATTTATTGAACGTCACTTAACACCAAACTTGGTATATGTGGTGCCTTCAAAACGGCCGCGAGCGCATCATAAAGGGTCCAATATACTCCAAGTTAGCGTTGACTCTCACGCGTGCTGTGCACAGCGACGCTACGTTAGCAAAACGCGAGCACTCTATAGTCTGACGCCAGGCGCGACCGGAGCGACCAGCGTCCGTCGGCACTGCCCGACGGCAACCGGTGCGAAATGCAACATGCTGCAATTCGCGCCGATGCGTTACCCTGACAACACTGCATCTCCCTCTTTTTGTGACAGAGGAATGCCGGCCACGCTCTAGCACGGATAAGCAAAAAAAATAATAATAATGCAGCATGGTGCGCTCCTGCGAGTATATCGCAGGACCGGTGCCTGGCGTGGCATTGCCGGCGTGACACGACGAAATGAACGCCAGCAAGCACGCGCATCACGTCACGTCGAAATATATTGGTGCCTTGACTGTGGCATGTAGTCTAATCTCACATGACATACATGTCATGATAATCATGTTTTTGCCCCAGTCACATACTTTCGTCATTCATTGACGTCACGTAATACCAAATTTGGCATGTGTGAAGCTGGCGAAACGTTCCCGAGCTCATCATGAGAGTGGAATGTAGTCATGTTGTTACATGACACGCATGTCGTGAATATCATGTTTGTACCAGTCACATACCTTCGTCATCCATTCACGTACCGTAATATCAAATTTGGTATATAAGACACTAGCGAAGCAGCCACGAGCGCATCATGAGCTTGGCATGTTGTCATGTTGTTATGGGACACGCATATCATGATTTTCATGTTAGGGTCTGTCGCTTGTTTTCACCATGCAATCATGTCATACCATACCAGTTTTGCAAGATTCTACGTGAGCGAAGCCTCCGCAAAAGCTCCAGGACCATGAAATGTAAATCATGATATTCAAGATATGCATGTCACAATTTTCATGTTATGACTTGTCTAATATGCTCCTCATACAGTCATGTTATGCCATACCAAGTTTGGTATCGATACCATTATCGAAACGGCCAGGAGAGCTAAAAGTCGTGGGCGGCTAGATAGATAGATAGATAGATAGATAGATAGATAGATAGATAGATAGATAGATAGATAGATAGATAGATAGATAGATAGATAGATAGATACGCTCAAAGGCGCCGAAGCTCGATAGGAAATGCTTCGCATTTAATATTATATTGAGCTTTCTTGGAGGAAAACGAAATGAAAAAGCACTGATTGCCATTCAATGCATGACTTCATCCATTAGCACAGTAACGTGGTTTTTCCGCGTGTGGACTCGCTCGCTGGATTCCATGCCGACCCGTTGTGCCCTCGCAATCTCCGACGTCAGCGTAGCTCTGGCCGACTGGGCTCGCCCTACGTCATCTTCTGACGCCGACCTCCGACGACAGTGTAGCTCTGACCGACTGGGCTTGCTCTACGCCATCTGCTGACGCCCACAAGAGCTCTCGCAAATGGTGCCCCGTCCTCGGACTCCTGTGACCATGTTTGCGTCTTTTCTATCTCTCCTCCATATGTCGTCGCTCTCACGCTTACCTCATCTCAGTTTCTCTGTCTCTACTACTTTATTCCTATCCTTTTAATCTCTTCTCCCCCCATCGCTGGTGAGCTACTTTTGAGGTGTCGCTCCCTGAAGTAGACAGTTACGGGGCTCACGTTTCTTTTCTTTTCCTTCTTACAACATAACCACTCCCCCCCCCCCCCCCCCCACCCATTATGGGCTCTCAAGAGTGCTCTCGACGAGCATAAAAAATTTCGGAGTTACGAAGTGAAGTCGTTCAAAAACACTGTCTTGTGGTTCAGCTTTAACAATGTTTGTTCAATATTCTAATATAAAAAAACAATCGCCTAGAAATCAAAATCTCGCACAGTTTTAAGTTTATTACTTCGCAAAAACCGGCAGACGAACCTAAAAGGCGTGAAATTGCGAAGCAGTCCTCCGTAAAAAGTGCAAAAAGAGGTGGAGATGGTAAGTCAAACTTATCTAGTCTTTAACTGTTCAATAATTCGGTGAGGTGCAAGCTTTCGACAAAAAAACATTGGCGCAAGGAAAGTCTGGTGGTGTTTGTTCGGAAAGGGCTTTTGGAGCAACACAACACTGCGCTACGTATAGATTGAATGCGTGGAGTCCGAGGACTGAGTTTCTTAGGACTGCGTAATGGCCCACAGAGAGAATTTAAGGTTTTTTTACTGCAGAAACGGGAGAAATGAATTTTTTTCACACTATCATGGCTTGCTCCACGCAGCGTCTTGTTTTTCCCTGCAGGTTTCTAAAACACTCATTTGAACTGTGGCGACATGGTGATAGTTATGCAGCGCGTACATTTACTCAAAGAAAAGTATCTGCTGTGAAATTTAATGATGAATTGTAAATATAACAAGGAATATTCATTACTTCAAACCTTTTGTTGCAATTTACCTCATCTTGTCTTACATCTCCACCCCATTATATTTTGCGAAATATGCTCTTTGTGAGAAGGAATACAACGAGACTGACACTTGCTTAGGTTCATGCACATCCTGGTTTATAAAGTCTAACCGTATTATATACCCAAAATCAACGAGATATTTCGGCCAGTATTAGCAGCACTGTCTAGAAGCAGGCAGATTGTTTCACAGTACTGACGTCCTCAGTAAATGACGAAGTTGTCAAAGTTGATTGATCAGTGCAATTTCAAGTTTTTGTTCTGAATTCTCAAAGAGCTGATGTTTGTCTTTTTTATGTTTACTGAGAGTACGGGCAATTTCAGTGCGCCTAAAAGGAGTCCCCTAAGTGACGCCGCATGCAGTAGGCTACCATAGACTGTCTTCTAGCCTAACTCTGTTTTGCACAGTTTTATAGAATATCAAACCTGCAATGTATTGTTTAAAAGAACTGGAGAACATATTTTTACACAGTGCGTTTTCGAATTTCGACTGTTATGTGTAAGTTTATCACGACACAATTTTCAATAGCAAACTATATGTATGTAAGTATGTATGTATGTATGTATGTATGTATGTATGTATGTATGTATGTATGTATGTATGTATGTATGTATGTATTTATGTATGTATGTATGTTCACCGTTATGGTACAGCAATCCGTGATGAATGCCACGTACGTTACTCCATCCTCTTTTGCCCATAAAAATCTTTTGACTTCTTCAAGAAATCAACATCATAAAATTTTGAGTGGAAATGTACCGGCATCTTGAAATCCGATTATGCACAAAGCTGGAGAGGTGATACAGATATTTGACGTTCGTTTCCCCACGGGCAGGAAGTGATTTCTAGCCCAATAATATTACACTTCCACGGACAATCAAGGAGAAAGAACAATGCACATCGTGCGGGGGAGGACAATGAGCACTGTGGGTCTTATCTACTAATAGTGTGAGCAAATGTGTGCCAGAGCAGGCTCTTTAGAATTCAGTAAAACCTCGAAACAAAAAAGCATCGAGAGAACTTGTATTGCTCCAGTATGGCAGTGCATGCATGCAAGGGGCTCTTCGTAAACCCAGTTGAGCAGACAGACCACGCGTGACGCATTTCATTTTTTTTTGTGGTATACTCAATGACGTATTGGAAATATCCTATTGTCCTCATCGAAGGTAATCGGCCTATAATTTTCTACGCCCCGTTGCTTTTCGCAGAAGGGTAGAGCTAACGCGTCGGGATAGGCGCTATAACACTCGTATGAGGCAGCACTTGATTATCCTGTTCGACCTACGGCCTTGTGACTAAGTTTTTCATCACAGCGTTATAGCACTTATATTTAAAATTTAATATCTCAAACCTTGAAAATAACTGAAGGTGTGGCAGTTGACAAAATCAGTTTCAAATGATAGCGTATATAGCTCGTTTCAAAGAGATTAAAGTGTCAGTGTCGGCATCGTTGGTTGTAAGCGAAAAAATCATTGTGTGCATGACCTAAAAAATGAGAAACATGGAAATAAAATAAATATTAAAAATTCTGGGTCTGACTGGGAATCGAACCAGGGTCGTTTGCGTGGAAAAGAGGGTGTTCTACCAGACAATTACGCGTTTTTTATTACTTGCTTTTACTACTCATACATAACTCAAAATACACTGATAGTAAAACCCCCCAAGTTACAATGCGCACAAAGAGATTTTTTTTGCCAGCCAGCATGGTGCTGGTATTGTCAAGCTAATATTCGGTCAAAGTCAGAAAAGGCTCTACCCTCAATAGTTAATTGAGTGGTGTAGCTTTTGAATGCGAAGCATCTTTTAGCGAACTTCAATGACTTTGAGCGTATTTATTTATCTAGCCGCCTAGGGCTTTTAGCTCTCCTG